AGCCATCTACAGTATTTAAAATAATTCTCAGAAACTTTCCAATTCTACCTGGAATAGCTTTATGAATTATTCCCTATAAAGAGCACAAAATAATGCAAATATTTAGGTAACGTTAATTTAGATGTGTATGGCAACTGACAAGTTTTCAAGCATGACCACTTTGGTTTCAATCAGAAACCTAACTAGCATTTTATTCACATCTGTTTAATTTTCTATTCTGGGATTCCAACATGCCTCTAATGCAAACCACTAAGAAGCCCTGTAGAGAGTTGCTTGGGTGCTTGTCAATGCAACCCATTTTCAAACATTGCTTTCTGTAAGGTGGAAGCTGTTGGGAAAATAGGGGAAGTCAGGACATTTTAATTTTTCTCTGCAGGTATTCTGGTGTATGATAATTTCTCTACAGTATCTGACATATAAAGACCCACAGCAGACCTATTCTACCTGTGGACACACCCTTAATCATACTGAACAGTATCTTACACTTCATTTAGCCTCACTCAAGTGAATGTGCCAGAATCTGCCTCCCTACATTTTGCCATCTCTCTCCATATTGGTTAACATCACAGTGGGTATGTCTAAACTACATCCCTCTTTCAAAAGAGGGATGTAAATTAGACATATCGAAATTACAAATGAAGCCGGGATTTGAATTTCCCACGCTTCATCTGCATAATCACATCATGGCATTTTTTTGAAAAACGCTATTTTGAAAGTGAAACCGCAGTCTAGACGCGGTTCATTGGAAAATAAAAGCCTTTTTCGAAAGATCCTGTACTCCTCAAAAAATGAGGCTTACAAGATCTTTTGAAAAAGGCTTTTCTTTTTGAAAGAACTGCATCTAGACCACAGTTTCGCTTTTGAAATAGCGTTTTTCGAAAAAATGCCATGATGTGATTATGCAAATGAAGCATGGGAAATTCAAATCCCAGCTTCATTTGCAATTTCAAATATGTCTAATTTACATCCCTCTTTCAAAAGAGGGATGTAGTCTAGACATAGCCTGTGAGTGGTAACTGGTGAAGACAAAGTAAGGGGTTAGGTTTCAGGAGGGACCCAGGATTGGTTAGGGATCAGACATTCAGAAATGCAGAAAAGTGAGCTGAGGTCAGTGGTACGTTCACAGGTTCTCTCCCAGCAGCCAGAAGAGAGAGGGGAACAACATCGTCTTTTTAGGCTTTGCACAAAATTAAGAGCAAAAAGTGCTGCAAAGACATTTTGTTCCCTATCTAAAGGTCACCTTTAAAAAAAGGAAAAGAAGGAGAGAGAGACTATTTTTACAATATACTTAGCTAGTTATTTTCTGGTTTTCCTTTGACAATACAAGAAATGTTTGCACATTTTAGCCCTTAGGAAACTAGCTAGTTCCCAGGTGTAAACTGTATCCCCTGGGAACAGGTTAATTTACAGAATGCTCATTTGTACATCTCATTTAGAGAGAGCTCACAATATTTGCTAGCTCCTCTTTTACAGATGGCAAAACATGTAACTCCTGAAAGAAAAAATATATAGTTCATACTGCTTAGAAACTGCTTTGTTACCAATAGAAGTTGTAGCTAATGTCTTCATAGGAGGCCTCAAACAGTCTTAAAAAGTATCATGGCTGGGAAGACCAGAGGAGGTACTGAAGAAGAGCATGCAAAAGACTCAGGGTCCGTCTACACTACAACATTAATTCGAACTAACTTAGTTCAAATTAGTTAATTCAAACTAAGCTAATTTGAACTAACGCATCTAGAACTAAAAACTAGTTCGAATTAGCGTTTTGCTAATTCGAACTAGCGCGTCCACATTAAGTGGACCCTGAACCGGGGTTAAGGATGGCCGGAAGCAGTGCTGGCAGGGCATCAGAGGAGGACTTAGAGCGGGGAGCTGCTGTCTCAGGCTAGCCGAGGGCTGTGCTTAAAGGGTCCCGACCCCCACCCCGGACAGACAGTTCTCAGGGTGCCCCGCTTGCAAAGCAGTCCTGGCTTGGAGTGCCCGGAGTACCCACACTGGGCACATCACAGCACTTGGCCATCAGACCGGCTGCACTTGCCGCAGGCTGCCATCTGGGGAGAGGAGGCAATTGGGGGGCTGCAGGAGAGCTTCCACCCCCAGAAGCTCGCAGAGCCAGCCCAGTCCTCCCCATCGGGGGCGCGTACCCCATTCCTCCGTCACCTCCTTCCACTTACCCTCCCCTAGCCCCTCTTCTTGATGTACAAAATAAAGGACAATTGTGTTCAAAAATGGAATCTGTCTTTATTGTACAAAACTGGGGGAGACTGGGAAAAGGAGGTGGGAGAGGGGAGGGCAACTAAAATGATCAGGGGTTGGGAACAGGTCCCCTATGAAGAGAGGCTAAAGAGACTGGGACATTTCAGCTTAGAAAAGAGGAGACGGAGGGGGGACAGGATAGAGGTCTCTAAAAGCAGGAGTTGGGTGGAGAGGGTGCATACAGAAAAGTTCTTCATTAGTTCCCATAAAGAAGGACTAGAGGACACCAAAGGAAAGGAATGGGTAGCAGGCTTCAAACTAGTAACAGAAAGTTGTTCTTCACAAAGCAAAGAGTCAACCTGTGGAACTCCTTGCTGCAGGAGGCTGTGAAGGCTACAACTAGAACAGAGTTTAAAGGGATGTGAGATCAAGGCATGGAGGTTGGGTCCATGGAGTGCTATTTGCCAGGGGCAGGAGTGGTGTCCCTGCCCAAGGTTTGTGGAAGGCTGGAGAGGGATGGCACGAGACAAATGGCTTGGTCACTGTCTTCGGTCCATCCCCTCCAGGGTCCCTAGGGTTGGCCGCTGTCGGCAGACAGGATACTGGGCTAGATGGACCTTTGTTCTGACCCATTACGTCCATTATAAGCTCAGGGCTCAGGGTCGGGGGTCTCAGGGGACCCCCTTGATTCTCTTGCACACCTGCTCCTGGGTGGCCAGACTGGCAGCTCTCCTGCCCTTCACTGTCTTCGGTCCATCCCCTCCAGGGTCCCTAGGGTTGGCCGCTGTCGGCAGACAGGATACTGGGCTAGATGGACCTTTGTTCTGACCCATTACGTCCATTATAAGCTCAGGGCTCAGGGTCGGGGGTCTCAGGGGACCCCCTTGATTCTCTTGCACACCTGCTCCTGGGTGGCCAGACTGGCAGCTCTCCTGCCCTAGCCAGGCTTGCACCTGGCATGGGCACCGTAGCCAGCCCGTGCCCCTTTAACGGGTCTGGGGCCGGGAGGGGGGCAGACGAGTTTCCCTGGTGTTGGCCAGAGTGGCCACCAGGGAAACCTGGGGAGGGCTAGCCTCCCACTAGTTCAAATTAAGGGTCTACACAGCCCTTAATTCGAACTAGTAAATTCGAACTAGGCTTAATCTTCGTGGAATGAGGATTACCTAGTTCGAACTAAGCGCTCCGTTAGTTCGAATTAAGTTCGAACTAATGGAGCGCTAGTCTAGCGCCTATGAAAGTTAGTTCGAACTAACGTCCGTTAGTTCAAACTAACTTTCTAGTGTAGACATACCCTCAGAGAGTTAAAAGAGAGAAGAAAGAAACCTGTTATCACGAGAGACAGTGTGGATATCGAATAGCTGGCAAGAGAGCCAGAAAAGGCAGGAGAATGGTGTCTCTCAATGTACATAAAACTTATATTGTGTTTTTTTAAGAATCACTTAAAACAATGTCATGCTATTCGTAAGGGGCTTTCTCTTTTCTTGTAACAACAGTAAGGAAAGCATGTTATCAGTCACAATTGCAACTACTACATAACTCCCTATCTTCCTTAAAATGTAAATGTAAAAAATGATATTTTGAAAGCCTATTTCTGGATTTAAAAAAATGCATTTAATATTATTGTATATTTCATATGTGATAGCAGAAAAAAATGCAGCTAGTTAACCCAACATGCATAGCAGCAGCTACTCTTAGCCGTGGCTAGTAAGTAAAGTCATTTAAGGCTACCAAAAGGTGTTTCGAGAAGGGAATACCTGTACATGTGTTTTATATTTTCTAACCTTGCACAAGCATTCTGTATTTCTTCATGGACTGGACTGTAAAATATCATATCAAAGGTTTTAACAAAGCCTGCCCAACCATATCAAATTTGATATTTTAAATAAGTGTCTTAATTGTAGAGTTACAATGGATGCTTCACTGTTATGAAGCAGCATCAACAATGAGACATCATACAGTTAGCTAGATCAATACAAAGAGAACAGTGGTTCACAGGTAGCAATTAGAACTGAAAAACTTTCATAATGAAACTAAAATGAAGCATGGTTTCCAATTTCATTAAAGCTTGTAAACTTGGGCCTGTTTTTATTGTAAGGGTCACAAACGATTTGCTAGCATGGTCTAACTTTTGGACAAATCTGGGCCAAACTGAAGTTTTTGGGTGGAAAGCACTGGCTTAAAGTGCCCAGTCTTGTTCCACTGTGGTGAATGGCTGAAGTCCTGATGATTTCAATGCTGCAGAAGAGTAAATTTACTCTGCTGATAAATGCCTTTTTAACTCTGCTTATTCTGTGTACTGAAGAGAGAAATTTGTGCACCTTATTGACAAAAACCATGTTTTTACTTCTCTTCACTCTGTAGAGCCATCAAGGCTAAAAGGGAGGATACTAGATTCTCTTCTCTTTTGCATCAATAAAATTGCTTAGCAAACTCCTCTTGTGCAAACCCATGGAAGGCAGAACTTCTATATCTGATGAATATCTGCCATACAGAACTCCCAAACAATTTACATGCCAGTTCACACCATATTTGCAAAAACGTATGGGGTTAAGATCCTAATGTGTAAGTAGATTTTATTTATATCACAAATCCAAATGTCACAACAGAGGGGGTTTTTTAAATGACATGAAAAAATAACTAGAAGTTATCATCAGGATAAACCATTCTCTCATTTCCCCTCTTTTCCATAGTCATCTATCCCTTTTACTAATAATGTCAATCTTTTTACAATCAGGAAACAATGAACAAGTTACATGATGCACCCTGATTGGAAGTGAAATTAACTACTTAGCATCCATACTTACAACTCCAACAGGAAAGGCTAAAACAGCCATCATCCAGTCACGAAGGGAAATGAGCTTTTTTAACTGTCTTTCTTGTTCTTGGCAGTCACTTCCTTTGGTGAGAAGACTGGAGAGATCAGTCAATACGCAGATTCCAAAAAAGACAGCCTGGATAACCTGCGTGCAAATAAAATCCAGTCTTGAAGACTAAAAATCATCAGATACAATACAGACACAGATAAAGACTGATTCATCCCAGAACTTGAGTGTGTTCTTAAAATTAATGATATACTTTTAAGTTTTTTACTGAATCGGGACCATAAAAAAGAGCATAGTGCTGTATTGTCAGAAAGAAACTCCTCAAGTCAAATTTCAGCTCTGATAGAGACTCATTGTGTCACTTCGGGAAAGCAACTTAACCTCTCAATGTTACCGGTATGTAAAATGTGGATGATATAACAGGGAGATTCCAATATGAGGATTATTAGTTTCATGTTTAATCAGTGTTATGTAAGAGCTAAGCATTGTTATATTCAATAGAAAAAATACTTAGGTTCAGATCCCGCAAAGTATAATTAAATATGTGCACAAGTCTTGGCAGAATACGAACCTTATAAACCCTACAAGGACGATGGGATTTGAATTTATAATATGGAAGAAATAAAAGTGAAGAGACAATATGTTTCTAGACACAAGTCTACACTACAGAGAAGATCGAAGCTGCTGCTGTCGATTTTCCAGGGTTGGAATTAGCAAGTCTAGTTAAGACAGCTAATTTGAACTTGAGAGGGGCATTCTGATCGATGCTGGTAGTCCTGCTTCTGCGAGGAGTAAGGGAAGTTGAAGGGAGAGTATGTTCCAAAATTTGAGTTAAGATACTTCAACTTCAGCTATGCAATTAATATAGCTGAAGTTACATATCTTAATTCACCCTTATCCCATAGTATATACATACACTATGATACCAGGAGCTTTAGGGGGTAGCCGAGTTAGTCTGTTACAGAAATAACAACAAATGGTCTGGTAGCACTTTATAGACTAATAAAACATGTAGTTGGCATCATGAGCTTTCATGGGCACAGCTCACGAAAGCTCATGATACCATCTACATGTTTCGTTAGTCTATAAAGTGCTACCAGATCATTTGTTACTGATACCAGACAGAGGGAATTCAGAAAATTACAATGTAAGTGATTAAATGGTTGGAGGGACTGATTTGCAAGTGAGGGGTCCGTTAGGATTCAACATGAAAAAATGACTTCACTCCAAGAACTCTTCACTCCATTTTTTCTCCAGCTTGCTATCTTACCTAAGCTGTTTGGTGATGGCATTGCCAAAAGCTAGAAACTCGATATTTTTCATTACTGACTGTAAATTAGAAAACACCAGGCCTTCATGATCGCTTCCTGCAGTTTCCATTGGAACTACGGCCATTGGAAACTGTGGGGCTCTATGCCTGCTGGTCACTCAGGTAAACAAACCATCTGGTGGCCTGCCAGAGTTTCACCTTGATGAACCACATAAAACCAGCACACTGAAGATCCCCCACCCCTGCTTTCAACCAAGATTTAATCAGAAATTATCCTCCCCCCCAAATAGATGGCCTACTTATACAGGAAGATAATAACAGCTAAAAATATTTTGCCATGACCAAACAAGGACCAAAGAAGAGATAGATTAACTGTCCACAATTTACTCGGGGGTATAAGTATCAAGGAAGAAAAAGATCTTGTTAAGGGAAGTCTAGAGAAGTATAACTACAAATAATGTGATGAATCTGAGCATAAGAAAATTTAGGCCAAGTGACAGGAAATATTTCCTAACAGTGAACTCTATTAGACCATGGAATAGTCTCCCAGAGGAAGTAGTGGAAGCCTTACTGCTTGAGTCATTCAAAGTTAGATTGGACAGAACACTCAAGAATATACTGTAGGGACCAATACCGCACTGGCAGGGTTTGGATGAATGACCTAATAGGCTGTTTGCAAATCTAACTATGGTTTCCTGAAATCAGATCTATCCAAAGTTACATAGCCTGAAACACCCTCACTTTCAAAGGGAACTGAAATTGTACATTCCCTAACCACTCATAAACTGAGCTTCTTCTCTTAGTTAATCTGCTATGAGGAGAAAGTTACATGGAGAAAAAAATTAATACTATCGTAGCATATAGTGATTCATTTCTGAAAATACTGAAGAGAAGGAAGCTATCCATAGGCTACAAAGTTGTGGTATGAGGGATAATGTGTAGTGATAAGCTTCACAACTAACAATGACAGTTACAGAAAAACAGAGACAGGAGGGGAAAATACACTTCTGGACAAAAGGTTACTGAACAGACCCAGGAATAAATATTTCAGAGTTTAAGGAGGAAATTTCCCATGCTTCCCCGTACCAATAGCATATACACCCACACTTTGGGTATGTCTACACAGCAAAATTATTTCAAAATAACTAGTGTTATTTTGAAATAACTTAGTTCGTCTCTACACAGCAAGCAGTTATTTTGAAATAATGTCGAAATACTATCAAGCTGGGGGACTTCTTACTCTGACTTCTGTAATCCTCATTGTACAAGGAGTAAGGGAACTTGGAAGAAGAGTGTTCTATTTCAAAGTAAGTGCCGTGTAGATGCTCCCAATTTCGAAATCAGCTATTTTGAAATAAGCTACGCAATTGACGTAGCTCAATTTGCATAGTTTATTTTGAGTTAAACCCTGCTGTGTAGACATACCCTTTCTTCTCTACATACAATTCATAAGGAGTGCTGTATTTACAATCGCCCTCTTGGCCCACTTTGGGGATTGTACTATGGATCTGCAAAGCGGAAAATATGAGTCTCAATAGCATGAAATAGAGCGTCAGTCTCTGTAAATTGGGGATTATAATAGATTAATATCCTCTTTGGGATCAGACACAAGACAGTGCCATGCAGCATGTGCCATTAGTGGGTTATACTATGAAACAAGTTTTTAGGACTTATGCTCCCTTCAGTGTAAATCACTATAATAGATGTAGAAGTTACCAATACATAACAAAGGATACTTCCTCCTAAACAATGTCCACTCAAGTACCCTAATGTTATCCCAGATTAAGGAAGACATTTTCAAAACAGAAGCCAGCTTTCAAATGGACATAATTTCAAGTAGCGTAGCTACAAAACAATAAAGGAAGCATGATATTATTTTTTAGAGATTCAAGCAATAAATTGTGAGATTACACCAAAAACAACACTGTTAATTTAAATATTGCAAAATGAACAGAAACTTTTTATTTTTAATTTGCAAGTCTCATCCAGGCACAAAAGGATACCAGTAGGCAATGAACAAAGTCTGAAAAGAGTACAGATATACAAAAAGAAATAAATAAAGTCCCATTATATAGAACAAACATGCAGTATCAGTCAAGAAGTAATTGACATAATGGATGAAATCACCTTTATACATTCCAGAAATGGCCCCCATTGTGCATAAAATTAATACATTTTTTCATGTACTACTGTCTCCCAGTTTACTTAGTTTTCAGTACAAAAAAATTTATTCATGAGAGATTCATAATTATGAGTCTGTGGCTATAATTCTTTGTTCTGAGAATATAATTCATATATACAAACTTTTAAAGCATTCCATTAGCAATTCCCAGATACTGTCAGTATCTGAACAAGTTGTCCCTTGAAGGCAGCCATATGTGAATTTGTAATCACTCTTTCTTCTAAGACAATAAGCAGCCCGAAACAATAGCACCAAAGTTTAGCTACCAGCATACAAAACCAAACTGTTGGGGGTCTGTCAGTCCACCTAAATTTCACTTTTTATAGTTTGCCAAAATTCATGATCTGATTTTTCTTTGGGGGAAAAAACAGAATATGATGTATTACCTCAGATTTTTGGTTACATTCCTTGTCACCTTTTTGCACTTTTGTTTTCATTCTTTCAGGCTTTTGACATGATGGATCGTTAAAATAATCTGGTGTTGAGCACAAATATTATGCTTGAGCAGGTAGCGTGGAAGTGTGATTTAAGACACATTGAAGTAATTTAGGCCAGACTATTTGTCTGTTTGGCTATTGTAAGTGTGATTGATTGGAATCAGTGTGACTGGGACCATGTAATCTACAACAGCAAAATCCTCCAAAAGTTCAAATATCCAGAGCCTGTTTCCTCTTATTGTTTGTCCTATAGGGGCCATATTGCTTGAGTTACTTTTTACACATCAAGGCTCTTGGTTCATGTTAGTTCTCCATATTGATGGCATTGGTTGTGTCAAAGCCCTTATTAGGAAGGATGGCATGAAGGTTGCCATTTATTTCCCATCTGCCATCAATCTGGATGACAAAGAAGTTGTTACTACCCTATGCAGTAATGATGGTTCGTTGAGATGTGTCCCTCTGTGGGTGCTCCATTCAGATCTTGGTGCGTCCTTGCACCACTGATTGGAGGTTTTTGGTGAGCAGACACACCGAGACCTGAGTAGAGTACCCACAGAGACATCACTCGATGAAGAACATGGATATTGACCTTTAATGTTGTTTTTTCAATTGCCAAACAAAAGAAGAATACTACTAAACATATAATTAAGTAGATTTACAGGGATTAAAAAAAAACTTACAACTATTTTTATTGGAAATTACTTGGAGTCTAACCTGCAAGGAATGAGGAAAAGCCATGTGTAATTAAGAGTCAGACACGGAAGAGCAGGAGCATTCTAGTTAATCTGCTGAGTGGTTAATGTTGTGCTGTGAAAGCAGAGCCCACTTAGGTTGGAGTCTCAAGAAGTGTTGTGGATGATTTATTATTCTTTCTTTGTTTTCAGGAGGTCGCACAATGTAGAAGGTGCTTTTACAACACAGAGCAGCACAGTTTCATGAGTCTCAAACTCAGGCCTGGGAAAACCTCTCACAGCTGCAGCCTTGTGGCTTCCACCAATGCCTTCTGAAACGCAGAGGATTAAAAAGCTACCAGCCAAGGCACCACTCACAGGCGCTTTGAATGGAAGATCACCTGGCTCCACGGATAGGTTGTAAGCTAGAAGGTGACACAGGAATTTTGTCTGAGAAACTAGGGTTTCTTGCTGTGTCTGCATAGGACCTG